AACCAAGCAATTCTGTGATTCTGTGATTCATGAAAGAGGGTTTCTAGGGGTTTTCCCTCAGTGTTTTAATGTACAATACCAAAATCCAAATAACTCTTGTGCTATATTTTGCTTCTTGTTGGACAAAATCAGGTATTTTGATTGTGGTCCTTCAGAAAGTAACAGATCTGCATTAATAGTTTTTCTTGCATGTATTTTACACATACTATGAGGCTTTGTGCTTGCACAAGGGAAAAAGTGATGTCAGAGTAGGGAATACTGTGATTCTAAATTACTAAAAATGTTTAAAGTCCTCTCCAGTAAAAATGAATTTGCTGTAATCTTTCTGTCAAAGTCAAGTTGTGCCACAAGTTCAGTGGGAACCAAATATGCTCAGAGAATGGTACTTGACCCTTCCTGGTTGGAAATAATATTGCATTTGGTATTATGATATAATTGTGAGTATATCACTCTGTTGTTAACCCCAATATCCGTTGTTACATTGCTGAGATCCAAATACCATTTTTTTTCCTCATTTGTGTAGTAACTTGTGTTTTTGGTAAAAGGATGGGAGAATTGGCATTCATCAGTGTTTCATGATCTATTTAATTCTTTGGGATAAAGGGCCATCTTTTCCTGTCTTTAATCAAGCCAAATTTCTTGTCCAAATTGACCAGGAAAAGAAAGACTCTGGTGGACTTGTTGTCTTTGTCTATCTCTGCTGTGGTTTCTCATCTCTTATTATGGATTTACCAGCAAAGCTGGTGGAGCTGTGAAGGAACCAACCCAGCACTACAAGGCACCTCCACTCTGTGGTCGTGGCCATCACAGTAGTTTCAATTACATCTTTGTATATGTGCAAACCGTCATCCTCTTTGAGGAGTGTGCATGTTGACAGTCCAGCAGTGGCAGTGCTTCCACTCTCTGCATCTCCTCCAGGATTTTCTTGGTCATTCCTTGGTGTCTCTTCTCCTTGCAAAAGAAAACACAGGCGTAACAAAGCCTGACCCAGCTAAGGACTTCAAAAGATGGCCCAAAGTAGCTGTTTTGGTCATAAATGAGACAAGTTTCTCAGTAACTGTTGTCAATTGTTTTGAGTGATGCTGTGGTTTATTCCAAGTACACTGAGATGTATGTCACTCTTAGGGGGTATCCTATCCCTCTCCATCAGTGACTGACCCTACGCTTACGGCAGAAGCACTGGATCAGACCATCGCTGCATTTGACACAGTGGAGGAGCTGCTCAAACACTTCAACCCAGACTCCTGGCAAGAAGATCTCGAGAATTTGTACACAGACAGTAGCCACCATTATCGAGGCAGAAGCTACCATGACAGGAAGTCCAAAGGTAGGAACAGTCACTATGTACATGCTTTGGGGCAAGACCTGAATATACCTTCACTCCTTATGGAAATGTCCATTGATCAGGTGTTAGATTCTGGTGCCTATGTTCCTGTGAAGTCACGGGGCAAGATGCCACCAATTAAAACCAGGGACAAGTAATTTAGTCCTTAAACGTTTATTGACTGAGTATTATTTTGCCTGAGCAGTCAGACTGAAAACTGTCCATCATTATGATGGATTTGCAAATAAAAACATAGACCCATGTGTAAAGGACAGGCGGTTCTCAGTTTCACCCTCTTAAACATAGCTTTGTGTGTAAGGCATGGGGCTCCTAATTACCTGCACTATCATCTACTTTTAAATACCTTGCTTAGGGATTGTTATCTGTTGAGTGAGGAATAATCACTTTTATCACATTGTGCTTAGGGAAGCATCTGGCGCAGACACCTGTAAGTGCAGCTGGTTTTTTAGTATGTGAACATCTCACTGTTTTTCATTACATTGGCAGGGAACATTATTATGATTTAGCATCTTTTTCTGTAATTGAGCAAAGCACACATTTCTAGGTTATGTTTCATGTTTCCTTCTGTTACTTCAAATCATCCACCAAATGGCAAAGCAAAGAAATGTGACGCTAACAGTACAAACGCATAACGATAAAGAAACACTATTTAGAAGAGACAGTCATGCTCTGGGGTAACTGCGCTGAAGGGTCTGATGAAATTGCCCTTTATGTGCAAATACAGATTTAGGGCATCTGTTAGGCTTCTCCAAGATGACAATTGCCGTAATTTTCACAGAAGATCTGGAGTGAAGTATTTTATTCTAGTCCTTCTCTTGATATCATCTACAATTTCTAGATTATGTATTTATATGCATTCTTCTTTATAACTTTATAGTGCCTGAGTCATGGTTCTGAGTCTGTGAGGTCTACCATTTATTTGCATCTCAAATCCTATTCCCCCCTGTGTTAAGTATCTGCTGAGGAGGAGGAGAGGATTGTAATTCTATGTTTGTAACTTACTTGCTATCAAATTATGAGGCATTGATTTTAAAAGGGATATATAGGCTGCATCTGTATTAGCAAAAATAGTGTCAAGGAGTGTTACCAGGCCCTGAAATCAAATCATCATGTTGCTAAAGTGTTGGCCTGGTCTCTGCTTAGTTTTGGCCTAGGCCAAGTGATATTCTGGGAGGTCATTGCTGGGCATGAACCAGGAGTTGGCAGAGACCAGCTGCCATTCCTGGTGGTTATTTTGCATGTGGCCGCCTTGTCTGCAGGAGTATGAGGTTAGCGGTAGAGATGTGGGCTGTCCCATGCTTATAGGCCTTTGTATAGGAGAATGACCTCAGACATATACAATGTGTTAGTAGATATGCAGCCACTTTGGCCTACAGTTTCAAGACATGTTGACGATCTCTGGTTTGGGGCTCAGCACTTCAATGGAATCTGCGATAAAGCCCTGAGCACCCATCTGGTGAAAAGTGAACCTCTTTATTTTGTTCCATTTTTGTCACATCAGACGCTTCAGGCAACCACAACAGCACCTTCTGCAAAAAACATCACCTAACTGCCACTGCATCCCTTCTGAGATCAGTTTGATCTCATTTAGGGGTCTGTGAAACATGAGCTGTGTCTCTTATCCCCAGGCTGGATTTGACACTGATAGACATGTATACAAAAGAAATAAAGGGTATGTTTCTATTTTAATAGAAGCTGATTAGAAACCTTGATCCTGCACTGGTTCTGCTCTCCAGATTTCATTTGATTGTCAGATCATATTTGGCCTAATACTCCATAGTTTAAATGACCATGTGTATATAAAACAGCTTTTTCTGCATTATTGATGCTGATCATGTACACTACAGGTATCAGTCTGATCTGGTAGTACTTGGGAAATGCAGATGCATAAAGGTTTCTCCGTTTAGTATAAATGTAATTCAGCTTCTTGCATAACAAAAAACTGTAAAAGACATAAAGATTTTTCCAGTTTTTATTTTAACACTTGATTTATTTTAATAGGATTTTTTTCATTGCTGTTTTGGTTACAAGAATAAGTCAAAAAAAATTTTAGCAGTTTTTCTTTTATCTTCAAACTAAAGGCCAAATTCCCTTACTGTTAGCAATACTCTGGACAAATGTACCTCACCAAAATAAAATCCTTAAAAAATTTCAGTTAAGAAATTTATTTAGTCATAAACTTTTGACAAGATTAAAGGCTTATTCTTGGATGATGTCAGGAGTAGGGAATAGCTTTAACAAGTCTTTAAATTAGAAAAGCTTGGTGGCTTTTAAATACTGACACTGTGGATCTCTAAGGAATGTTTATAGGCACTGGGATAACCTTGCAGCAAAGAGAGCAATAGATTATAACATCATTTATTTCAGATATCTATCTGTTTCTGCTTTCAGCTTGGGTTTCATTCTTTATCCTTAGTTAGAACAGCCTTGAGGCAGATAAGAACAATTTGATGTAATCTCTGCCTATCTTTTACAGCATTTTCAGAACATGTCATATAAATGGTATAAATGAATTACTAATGATTTTACTCCTATCCAACTCTCTGCCCATACCAAATTGTGCTACAAAATTGAGCTAAAGAGGCGATGTTGCTGAATACCAATTCTGATAACAGGGATATGTGATAAATGACATTTAAATGGTATGTTTTACTAATTTGGCAATCAATAATCCACAAAGATAAGAATAAGGGTCAAGGAAATAAGAAATACAGTGGTTTAGAATAGCTGAAACACACAGAATGACAGAACAGATGAAGTGGGAAGGTGCGTCAGGAGATTGCCTACTGCAACCCCACTGCTCAAGGCAGGGCCATCAGCACCAGGTTGCTAGAGACCATGTCCAGTCCAGGTTTGAATATCTCCAAGGATGGAGATTTCACAACCTCTCTGGGCAACCTGTGTCTGACCACCTTTGAAACAAAAAAAAAAAAGCAAACAAGAAATGGGTTTTAAACATTTAAATAAGTTTTCCTGTGTTACAATTTGTGTCCAATACCTCTTGTCCTTTCAAAGTCTCTGGCTCCATCTTCTTTACTCCCTCCCATCATGTGTTAATACACAATAAGATAAGAAAAGATTGATCCCTCCCTGGATATCTTCGCAGAATCACAGAATTTTAGGAATTGGAAGGGACCTCAAAAGATCATCCAGTCCAACCGCCCTGCCAGAGCAGGATCACCTAGACTAGGTTGCAGAGGAACACGTCCAGGCGGGTTTGAATGTCTCCAGAGAAGGAGACTCCACAACCTCTCTGGGCAGCCTGTTCCAGTGCTCTGTCACCCTTACAGTAAAGAAGTTTTTCCTTCTGTTCAGGTTGACCCTCCTATGCTCCAGCTTGCACCCATTGCCCCTTGTCCTGTCATTTGACATCAGAGAGAAGAGCCTGGCTCCTTCCTCCTGACATGTTTATAAACATTAATGAAGTCACCCCTCAGTCTCCTCTTCTGCAAGAACCTTAAAGATGAAGAGTGTGTTGATTAAACCTGTATGTATGATAACTCCATTCCATCTAAAAAATCTGGTCATACACCTCTACAATGCTGATGCAACTCTGTTGAGTTAAATGCATTTCTTTCTATTGACACTGTTAAAGTCAGATACTGGTATCAGGTGAGCCTTGCCAATAACCGCCTGAAGTTTTAAATTTAATTCTACATATGTTCAGTGAGATTTGCTGTTAACCACTCCAGCAGAAGCCAACTATAGAATCACAGTGAAACCCAGACTGAAAGATAGAAAAGAAAGGGGGAGGTACACATTCACATTTTCAAAATCCTTAAATGAGAGGCCTTGTATAAGCTACAAACTACTGTGTACACCTCCTACATGGAAATATGAAAAGTAAATATTTCAAATAACATTTGGAGCAGTTGCAAATATACTCAAAGTGGTTTGCTAGCCATTGCTGCATTTTAGAAACTGTGAATATATGAATATTCAGCCTTGAGCTCATCCTAGACTCTTAGGAAAAAAGCAGGTCATACATTGAACTTCTAGACAAATAGGTTTTTCTTGTTTTAGAGAGTCATAAGGAGCATTCAGACATCTTTGAAGGAAAAATGTTCCATCCTACAATTTAAATTTTTGAAAGCATCAATGTATCTGTGTGATAATATTAGAAGAGTTCCTCAGAGATATTGTTGTAAACAGTTGCAACCATCAATTAAACATCACATAACTTTTCCCACATGCTTGTTTGCATTTATCTTTTGTTGTTCACTTTGAAGTTTTACATGCCATTGAAAAAGGCTTTATAATTTTAAAAAGACCTCTGCCTGTGAAATGGCTTGTGTACAAAGAGAGATACAAGAAATAAAAGTTCAGTTTCTCATTATAAAAGTAGATTGAAATGTCTAGGGGATGGGACTTAGAGAAAGGGGTCATCTTTAAAAAGAAATGTTTGTTTGGCTTTGGTTGGTTTTGGTTTTTTTTCACCAATAAACCGAGGAAGCAGGAACACATGTGGATAGATACATTCTGGTAATTAGCAAGACTACTCATACTTCTGTGCTGATTTTTTGGGGAATTTTTTGCAAGAAGCCTTTGGCTATGAGAAGAAATTAATAAGGTGCGACATTCTTGCAATAACATCCGTCTGCAATGACAGTTTTACAAGTTAAATAAATAACCACTTGCTGGCATAGCCACGCTGCTCTCTAGAAGGGGAGTAGCAAGATGAGACCACAAGTCTTCATGGAATGTGCTTTTGCTGTCCATTGCCAAACAGGTTCCCAAGATCAGGCAAGATTCACCATGTCCTTAACAACAGTTTTTAATTGTCACTACTTATAGTGGTCTAGCAGGAAGTTAAGATTTGAACTCAGGAACGTAATTTCTCAGGGGTTTGCAAACAGTGGCCCATAAATTTCTGCAAACGTCAATGTATTCTTCCTTGAAAGGTTCTGGGACGGCTGCCAGCAAGTTTCAGTGCACCAGACAGGGAGTGCAGGCATCACGAATGCTGAATGCCCACTCATTCA